TGTTGTGCAAACCTATATAAGTGCTGTGTTTAAGTCGCTCGGAGAATACCACAAGGCTAAAGAGTATATCCACAAAGCGCTTGTCATCACAACTGAAATTGGCGACAGAAAAGGACAAGGAGAATGTTATGTAAAGCTAGCTACTGTCTTTCAGTCGTTCGGGCAATAAGGCAAGGCTAAAGGTTATCTCGAAAAAGCGCTTGTGATCACAACTGAAATTGGCGACAAAAATGGAGAAGGAGCATGTTATGGAAACCTAAGTAATGTGTTTCAGTTGCTCGGAGAATACGACAAGGCTAAAGAGTATCTCTACAAAGCGCTTGTCATCACAACTGAAATTGGCGACAGAAAAGGAGAGGCAACTGACTACGGAAACCTAGGTATTGTGTCCTTGTCGCTCGGAGAATACGACAAGGCTAAAGAGTATCTCGAAAAAGCGCTTGTCATCACAGCTGAAAAGCTGAAAGTGTTTCAGTCGCTCGGACAATACGGCAAGGCTAGAGAGTATCTCCACAAAGCGCTTGTCATCACAACTGAAATTGGCGACAGAAAAGGAGAAGGAGCATGTTATGCAACCCTAAGTACTGTGTTTCAGTCGCTCGGAGAATACGACAAGGCTAAAGAGTATCTCCACAAAGCGCTTGTCATCACAACTGAAATTGGCGACAGAAAAGGAGAAGGAGAATGTTATGCAAACCTAAGTACTGTGTTTCAGTCGCTCGGAGAATACGACAAGGCTAAAGAGTATCTCCACAAAGCGCTTGTCATCGGAATTGATATTGGTGATAAGAAAGGGGAAGCATCACATCTTGCAAACCTTCGACATCTCTCTGCAATTGTTGGAAATTATGAAGTTTCGGAAGTATGCTTGGAGAAAGCTTTATCCATATCCAGAAATATTGGAGATAGAAGACAAGAGTTCCGAATCCTTCAATATTACGCCCTTTTGTATTCATTTCAAAATAAAATCAAAGACTCCCTTGTATGTCTTCATTTGTGCATTGAAAAGTACGAGGAGCTGAGATATTTCTTGGGGGCCAATGATGAGTTCAAAACATCACTTCTGGAGCACTCGGGAATATTTCCCTACAAGCAACTTAGTACTCTGTTTTGTGATACCGGAAATGCTCTTGAAGCTCTTTATGTTGAGGAGTTGGGTCGAGCGAGAGGTCTATCAGACTTGATGACAGAGAAGTACTCGCTTGAAACGCAGATTTCTGCTGATCCACAATCTTGGTTTGGCATTGAAAACAGTTTTAGAAAGAAAAATAACTGTGCTTGTTTGTACATTTCTTATTTTCACAATGTTCTGCATTTGTGGATCTTGAAAACAAGTGGAGTCCTTCACTATAAAAGATTACTAGAAGAGAATCTAGTTCAGGCTGGGTTGCCCAAAGATTTGCCTCTGAGTGAGTTTTTGGCTGATAGTTTCCGGAGTCTTGGTATTTTGCCCACTGAAGATTGTGAAGATCGGTCTTTAAATATGGTTGAATTGGAACCTCTCTCCCCCGAACAAAAGAGCCTAGCAAGAATGCGACTCGTGGAGGAGGACGAGGACAAGGAGGTCATTTCAAGTCTATCTTTGTGTTACAAAATGTTTATTGCCCCTGTTTATGATTTGCTTGAGGAGCCTGAAGTCATTATTGTTCCTGACCGCAGTTTGTACAAAGTTCCCTTTGCTGCCCTGAGTGAAAAGGAGGGAGCCGAATACCTGTCGGAGACTCATAGGATCCGTGTCATTCCTTCTTTGACAACACTCAAGATCATTCGAGATAGTCCACAGGACTATCACAGCAACACTGATGCCTTGATAATAGGCAATCCCAAGGTTGATTGGCTGCCACCATTGCCAGGTGCAAGAAAGGAAGCGGAGATGGTCGGACGACTGGTGGGTGTTCCGCCTCTAGTAGGAGAGAAAGCAACGAGGCAGGCGGTGCTTGAGCGGATAAGTTCAGTGAGCCTGATACATTTTTCTGCCCATGGTGACGCCGAAAGGGGAGAAATTGCCCTCTCCCCCGTTCCTACTTCCAACAGTGGAAACGCTACCCAACCAAAGGAAGATTACATGTTGACGATGGCTGATGTCTCACGAGTGAAAGTCAGAGCTAAACTGGTGGTACTTAGCTGCTGTCACAATGGAAGTGGAGAGATAAGAGCCGAGGGAGTTATAGGAATTGCCCGTGCGTTTTTAGGATCCGGTGCTCGCTCGGTGTTGGCTGCGCTGTGGGCCATTTCAGACAAAGCAACAGAGAAGCTGATGAGTCGGTTCTACAAACACCTTGTTGAAGGAGAAAGTGCCAGTGAATCCCTTCATCAGGCCATGAGGTGGATGGATGGATGAAAAATGGCTTAAGCGAAGTGTCTGAGTGGGCTTCGTTTACGCTGATTGGAGATGTGAGGCTCGAGTTTGACAAGCAGAGGTAAGACTTGATGAGAACAGGTATTTTATAAATTAAAGTTAAATTAAATGTGAAGGTGGCTATGACTTACTGTTCGCTGACTGTCGGCAGTTATCCTTTGTCACCTTGAATATCAAGGCTAGTTTTATAACTTTTTTTTGTTTCTTTCAAAGAGTAACAATTTATTCTCCCAGTTAGGTGTAAAATATAGAATTTCGAAAGCGTCTCTCTGCCAATAGATACAAGTGTACATTTGCCTACATATTACGCCTGGTATAACTGTATTTGCTTTATTTAAGAAATGTTGATTGTGTTATTTATAATTGTTTTTTACGTTTGTCACAGGAAAAAAGATGAGAATATCTCGAAGTAAACAGACCTTAGAGACTTTTAGCTGGATAAACAAATAGAATAAGTAGAGAAAATACTCTATCCGTTATTTCATTGTGTAATTACAGAAAGGGCAATCTCAAATTAAGCATATTGATTTTAATTTTTTGCTTTCTCTTTTCCGATCTTCTCAGAAGGAGGTATTGGTTACGTATCCGAGAATATTTTTTTCTGCACGAAAATTATCTTATCCGGCCGATATAATTAGCACGAAACATTATTGACTTATACGGCTCTTAAGTGAAGTGAAATCAGGAAAGTTAAAACAGTAGTTTAAGCATAAAAAACGAGCCAGTTAAGTCTTACAGGGTTTTCCTTCAAAGCCTTTTATTATAGGTTAAGTTAACAGAATCCTAAATTTTTTTATGTAAAATCTTTCCGGAAAGTTTTTCTTTTGGTGAGTTTCAGTACTACTTCTGAGTGCTTAAAAGACTGGAAAAAATACATGGATTTCCAAACAGAACCATGGAAGAAGCTTTAAAGGTCAAGAACTTAATCAGTATCAAGTGGAAAAATGACGGCAGCAATATTTTGAAACTGGTTGAACAAGTCACTTAATTACGTATTGTAATGTTTGAGATAATGTATGTTTGCACAGTGATTTAGACAATATCGTGAACGTTTGTTTTAACCAGGTTACAGAGTAAAACAGATAGCACTGTTGTTCACTGTTAAAGCAGCAAGGTGGTGGGATAAATGATGCAAGTGGTAGAAGTATCTGCTGCGGTCTACTGACGCGGATAGGAATGATTAATGCTTGCTTCCGAAGACAACATCAACAAACGCTATGATCGCAAGAAAATTGTTTTGTTTCTCAATGCTTTTCAGCCCATTTCTTTGATCGTTTCTCCTCAACCCATGTTACTTGATACTTGTCTTACAATCAAAAAAATTCTGGCGATGAAGTTCTGGTGATTAGTATGCTAACGTCGAATATTAGTTCCAGTATTAAATAGCAATCCAAGCCGCAACAGTTATAGCGTCAAAGATCATAACAAATTATGGGAGCCAAACGAGTTTTTCGTCCCTTCATTTGAAGAAAATTACGTTAACTTCAACATAAAAACTTGAGGCATAAATAAGTGATCACATGCACGAAAAAAAGTTTGACCATGTCACGTGTTCTTGATAGGGTGTCCTTCTCATTTCCTTCTTTAACAATTTCTAAGAGCGTTTAACATCACGCTAATTATTTTGAACGTTAACACCTGAAATATTTGAAAGGAAGCGCCAGTGCCTGAAAGCACCAGAGATGTTGGTGAAATAACTTAAAACGTTGGCGAAACGACCTAAGACGTTTTTATAGCAACAGCTGGTCGTTAAAGAAACGACCCCCAAGCAAAACGGTCGCAATTTCCCGATATAGATCAGACTTAACCGCTGATAGCCATTCACTCGTGGAAAGCGGAAGGAACCACTACTACTAAAAAATCTGCGTCCAATGAAGTCGATATTTCCAATTCAGTCACTACCGGTCGACGTTTCAGCCGGCCAGGTTACATTTCTAGCCTAAACAATAATGGCGGCTGCCAGCGAGTTTCCGACAGAACTGGCGACCCGTCCTTTAGGCCTCACAGCCCTTATGGGACTTGATATTAATCAGAAACCTTTGCACAAAGCTATCTGGGAGTCTTTTTCTGTGAACAGGCATCCTGAGAGAGTTCCACTATCCTTCAGACTTCTACCAATTGATCACGAATTTCCCAAAGCAAAATCAAAGGTGAGCTTTCCTATCGCTTTTAAGTATAGTTACTCTTAAATCCTTTGATTACGTGAAATTCTTCTTATTTTGGTTACATTTAAGCTCTTTCAGTATAATTTATTTAGTATACTTTTCCCAATACATTTCCTAAGGTGCTGACGGGGAGAATTTGTTTAGCAATCAAGAACTGTAGTTGGTGATCATTTCCTATATTCTCATAACCTTAGCTTAAGATTTGATTCTGGGGTTGTATAGCAAAGAGAAATTAGATGCTAAAGGGTTAAATGGACACTATTTTTGTACAGCAAGGCTGTCTGCATAGGAAGCTGCCACTGTTTCATTTTTCTTATATAATTGTATAAAGAAAGTTCTATGAGTGATTTCCACAAAATCATTTAGAAGAGTTTATCACAAATCAATCATACTCCTGGGTTTTTTTTCCAAATAAGCATTCTCTTGCTTCCTTGAGTTCTGACTTTCTTAAACCTTTTACTCCAAAGATTTCCTTAGTAATTCTCTGTACTGTCTGGTGTACAATTCTTAGGATGTTAGTTCAGAAAATCTGGAATTGGATCAACTAATAATCCTCTAATTTATTTTTTTTCCTTTTTTCTCATTGCTTGTTTGCTTGATTTTGCATTGAAATTTTAAAAGTAAGTTCTGTCTCCGTCACTCATGGGATTTGAAGTGTTAACCCTTTAACTCCTAAGATCTGATTGTTAATTCTCCCCTCCAGCTGCTACAAATTTCCTTGTAAATTAGTTATAAGAACTTGATGCTAGATCAAGATAGTATCTTCTACCTGATAAGTTTGAATATTCTCATTACCTGTTTGCTGAATAATGTTTGGATATCATTGTATTGCGCAATATTCTAATTTCTTTGCGCATTATAATTTGATGACATAACAGATATAATTGTTAAGATTTTCTATCGCTAGACAGTGTTATGGACACCTAGAACCAATGGGTAAATATTTATCTTGATTTCTTTCGATATTATCGATATGAACTGAAACCAATTTGTTAACCGATTACTTTACAGATTTCGAATCTTCGATCCATATCCATGAATTTTGTCATAACATTCATCCGTTCTTTATTGTAATAAAATATCGAGGTTTGGAACCTTTGGTAAATTGATGTCCTAACACACCGTCACATTCGAAATCCATTGAGACGTGAACACGAAGATAAGATCCAGAAAAAGCGAAAACAGACCGGAAGAATGCCAGAACAATCTTCACAAGGAAAAGGAATGAGCTGCTGAGATCTGTCCGCGACAGAAGAATAGCAGATGTGATTGAAGACGATTATGCTGAGCTCGTCAAAGCATGGAAGGAATTAGAAGGTAAACACAACGCCTATATAGAGCTCCTGAAGGATGACGAGATGAACACAGCAGAAAATTGGCTCGAAGAGCTACAAAACCTCTACACGGACGCGAGAAATTTAAAATTTGAATACATAGAAAATGAAACAAGAGCGCGCGCAGAAAAAGAACGCGATGAATCCGCAAGCAAAGAAAAGGAATGCATCCTCAACAAAAGGAACACTGCACGCGCAGTCTTTGATGCCTTATATGGTAATGCTTCCCATACGATGGAAAACGAAAAGGTTACAACGACGCACATGAAAAACTTGCAAAGTCAGCTTGAAGAGGCTTTTGTCGACTGTAAACAAAAACACGAAAAGTTAATCGAGCTCATTGATAAAGACTCCGTAGAACGAGAATTGCGGTGGATTTTTGACGTTCAACAACGCTACAGTGAAATTTCAGAATTAATGGCAACCCGCGTCGATGAAAATGAAAGCAAAACCTTCATCAAATCCAATGACGGAGCAACCCTTAAGCTTACCACTGATGCCATCATCAATTCCATTCAGAATGTTAAATGTATTAAGGAAGGTGAGCACAAAAAGTTCATTCAATTCGTCAATGTAATTGAAGAAGGCTATCGCGATCTATGCAACCTAAAATTGGAGAAAGAGATAACTACAACTAGCTCGATCAGCATCATTGAGAAACGATTACCCCCTGACGTAATGAAAGAATGGGCGAGATTAGTCAGCAACGACACGAGCACCATTGATAAAACTGATAAGTTTCCAAGTCTATTGAGATTTCTACTGAACCTGAAGAGAGCTCTTGAATACCAGAACGCAGAGTTACGCCTGAGCAGTGAAAAAATTAAGGGTTCCGTGAATCATACTGACAAGAAAGATGACAATCCAGTTGAACAACAACGAAATACCAAACAAAACAGGCAATGCCTAATTCACGAAAATGGTAACCACTGGACAAGCGAGTGCCGAGTATACCTCTCCAAACCGATTGAGGAAAAGGAGAAGATTGTCAAGGAGAAGGGTGCTTGCTGGTCGTGTTTGAGACGTGGACATCGCTCGCAACAATGTCGAAGCAAACGAATCTGCAATGTCAATAATTGCAAAAGAACACATCACAGTACACTGCATCAAGAGAAGAAAGCAGAGCCCTCGCCCAAACAAGAAGAAACGCCACCTTCAGTTTCTGGCACGGCAAGTGTATGCGACAGCACTGACGTTGACACCTGTTTACTTCAGATACAGAAAATACGAAGTCCAAAAGGTTGGGTTAATGTCTTGTGGGATAATGGAGCATCTCTTTCCTTTATTACAAATGCAAAAGCAGAGGCAGAGAAACTGAGAGGAACCAAAGTTCAGCTATCTCTGGTTAAGGTTGGAGGAGAGAATGAAGCCCTGATTTCATACAAGTACAAACTTCCTCTATTTGACCTACAAGGCAATCGGATTTACTTTGACGTGTACGGGATAGACAAAATCACTTCAGACATCCAAAACGTTAAGATAGACGGGATTGCAAAACACTTCAATAACATACCAAAAGAAGATCTTGCTCGACCCACTGGTACCGTCGATGTTTTAATAGGCTATGAATACGCCAACTATCATCCTCAGAAGGAGAAGAACGTCGACCACCTCCTACTCCTAAAGAACCGTTTCGGTAGATGCCTTGGCGGGACACATTCTTCAATCAAGAATATGAATGAAGAGCAACCTCTTAGAAACATCAGAGCTCATCATGTACGAGCAGTAAGAATCGAAGATTTCTATAACATCGAGAATCTCGGGATCAATTGCAATCCGCGCTGTGGAGGCTGCAAATGTGGCAAATGTTCAGTCGGAAGTAAAAACTACAGCATCAAAGAGGAGAAGGAATTAGCACTAATCGACAAGAATTTTAAATACGACGAAGAAAATAAGATATGGATTGCCGGGTATCCATGGATCAGAGACCCTTATGAACTTCCTGACAACAAGCGCGTAGCATTCAGCATGCTCATGTCAACTGAAAGGCGACTCATGAAAAATAAAGCTCACGCTGACGTCTATCAAAAGCAAATAGAAGATATGATTGCTAGAGGCGTAGCAAGAAAACTCTCCCAGGATGAGTTACAAAGCTATAAAGGACCAATCCACTACATTTCTCACCACGAAGTCCTGAAACCCGACTCAAAATCGACCCCCGTGAGAATCGTCTTCAACAGCAGTGCGAATTATATGGGACACGTCCTAAATGAGTATTGGGCCAAGGGTCCAGACTTACTGAACGAATTACTAGGAATCCTGATACGATTCAGAGAAAATGAAATCGCCATCATCGGAGACGTAAAGAAGATGTATCATACTGTCAGAACTCAGGAAATTGATCACCATACTCATCGCTTCCTATGGCGTGACTTCAATACAAGTCAACATCCCAATACATACATCATGCAAAGGGTTTCCTTTGGAGATCGCCCCTCTGGGACCATAGCGACACTGGCATTACGCAAGACAGCAGAGCGACTCAAACAGCAATACCCTGAGGCAGCAAACGTAATAATCAATAACACCTACATGGATGACCTTATCGAAAGTGTTCCTACGCTGAAAGACGCCAAAAAACTTGCCTCAGACATGGAGAAAGTTCTGATCACAGGAGGATTTCAGATTAAAGAGTGGATGTATTCCTATAACGCAAGCCATGTTCAATCAATCCTACCAGTTACACCCAACACAGCGACGGAAAAGGTCCTTGGTGTCGAATGGAATACTAACCAAGATGAACTTTGCTTCAAGGTCAAGCTAAATTTACAAGGCAAAATGAAGAAGAAGAATCCCAAGCCCATCGCTTGTGACGCTTTGACAAAAAGGAAGATCCTGTCACAAGTGAACAGCATATACGATCCACTCGGACTAGCAGGACCAGTTACTGTCAAAGCTAAGATCCTCATGAGACAACTATGGATAAGTGACCTCACCCTCGACTGGGATGATCCTATACCATCAGATCACACGAAAGACTGGATGATTTTCTTCGATGATCTGCCAGGAATGAATGAAGTGAAAATAAGAAGATGCATGAAAGCACCTAATACCGTAGGAAATCCTATCCTCATCATTTTCTCTGACGGGTCGACAAACGCGTATGGCGCATGCGCATATGCTAGATGGAAACTGACAACAGGAGAATTTGATAGTCATCTCATCATATCTAAAAACCGCTTAACACCTGTAAAGAAAATATCCGTCGATCGTATCGAACTTTGCGGAGCTGTACTAAGCAGCAGATTGAAAACAACTATAACATCCCACTGTAGATACAAGTTTGAAAGAATCATCTATATTGTAGACTCGCAGATTGTCCATGCCATGATCCAGAAGGAGAACTATGGTTACAACACATTCGCAGCCGTTCGGGTGGGAGAAATCCAAGAAAACACAGATCCCGAAAACTGGTATTGGACAGAGAGCAAAAATAACATCGCCGACTGGCTGACCCGCGGAAAGAAGTCAAATGAAATTGGCATGTACACTTTGTGGCAAAAAGGACCGGATTTCCTGAAGCTGCCTGAATCTGCATGGCCAATCACACGTACTTATACACAACGGCATGCAAACGTAATCACACATACCAAACCAGATGAAGCTGTAAACGATTCACTCGCAAAACGAATAAACATTGATAGGTTCTCA